GACAAATTAAATATCGCGCGTTAGTGCGATACGATAATTTGTCGGCACGGACAGGTGCTGTTATACGACCGACGACATCCAGAAATAAAAATTTATTGCTTATATTTACATTTTCTAATTTTCTTTTTTCACAATTTTAATTTCGTTCATTTATTATTATAAAGTTAGCCGTCCTTCAGATCTGGTGTGGTTATTAGACGTAAGAGCCGTTATGACGTGGAAAGTTAAATAATGCAAATGAATATTGCGAAGGAAAAAAAGACAATTCTGAATGTATAATTCTGTTGTTATTTTTTTAAGACATTGTTTAATAGAGTATTGGTTTTTAATTACACTGAGCCAATATAATATACATTTTGGTGTTCCTAGTGTATTGGAAGTAGTTCCTATTGTGTATTCCAACGCGCCGTAACAAGGTTTCCTGTGTGTTATAGGGTATTGAATGCTGTAGATTTCCAATGGATTTCATAAAGAAACTAAAACTGAATGTTAATATTTCTGTATTTTAATATCACGCCAGATATTGAAAAGAGCGATTGTAGTAGCCATATTATAAACTGTCATGAAGTGCAAGAATATTTCCAAAAGAGTTTATGTGTGTGTGCAATTTTCATAAGAGTAGGAGAAAGAACTGAATGGCTTTTCGGTGATTTACTTGCAATTCCTACAACAATAAACAAGTACTTTTCGCCCTCTCTTCTGAAGTGTCGTACGCATCATTTATCCAAAGCTTTTCTGTTTACAGGACGTGAACAGGAAAGCTCTAGGTCTGAGATGTCGGCAAGTAATTACAACCAAACTCTTCACACTATTATACCAACAAACGGCAAGAAACAAAAACGTTGTGTTCTCTGTCAGTTCAGGAAAGTACGTACGCGCAGTGGCTGGGAAGTGTTGACACAACACCGTTGTTCACACTGTCTTGTAGCACTGTGCACAGGAGTGCGAAATTGTTTTTCCCTGTATCATTCTTCGTTACAAGGGGGAGAACAATCTGAACACTTCAAACAAAGAAATGTACATATTTTGCAGAGAAAATTTTGATACTAATCAACTTATAAATCTTATACATACTACATGTATTATCTTACGATATCATTGTTTAAAAAATTTTGTATTGATAAACTACTTGTCAGTTTACACGTTTTTTGTAGTATTTCAAGATGAAAAATAAAAATGTTTCAAACGAACATTTTCTTTTTTAATTTTTTTAATGAGCTGGGTACTTCGGTCTTTTCCATCAATAAACACAGCCAAGAAAATTACCAGGCCTGTGACGAAACTTTTAACAAATTTAAAAAAATACATAAGGTTACATGTTTTACAGTACCTTATAGTCATGCTCCCTTACCCATTAGTTTCTAGAGCATACGGCAAGATTATTTCTCCTTTCAGAGGCCCGGACCAGTGTCAAACAGTCGGAGAGACTCCAAACCACTCATTCAGTGGAACGGACTGCCCCTCAAACTGCAGAATCAAGACCTTTAGCACTAGATAAAGACAAAGTATTACTTTCTGTCGCAGAGGCGGCTTTGCACTTCCCGCAGACGATTGAAGAATTTAAACAGAAACGATGTGCTCTTTGTCGACATCAGAATGTTACAACCAAACGGGGGTGGGTGGTCTTGACCCAATCTAGGTGTGCCAGGTGTTTGGTTCCTCTTTGTATTGGGGAAAGGAATTGTTTTAAAATCTATCACAGATTATTGTTCTCTGGCCAGATTGAGGGACTACCGACTGGTCGTGTGAGTAGGTTAGGCATTGGAAAGAACAATTAAACTAGTACAGGCTTTTTCTTTGCTGGTGACTTACGAAAAAAAAAACCCCAAACAACCAACCAAACAAAAAACTGTGAGATTACAAGTATGTAAATGGTATAAAAAGAGAAGTTACCGAAGAAGTTGCCTATAGGTCAATAACAATTGCCTGTTTAGTGAAATACTGAACTGATGCTCCCATATATCATTTAACCATGCATTAATTGAGATATTCAAGTTTGTTTAATCGCATTTTGCTATTCGTTGATGTTAGAATGTTGTATAGTGACAACTTGTTTGATATTTTTATTCGCACGTTTTCTTCTTGGCCTGGTACAGTTGTAAAATACATGTACATTGTATAAACTGAACAACGTATCTTTCCTCGTGTGGAAAATGTAAATAATTAATTGTAACCCACTAATTAGGGCCGCCTAAGATTTTGGGGATCTTTAAAGTAATCAGTCTGTCTGTCTGTCCATCAGTCTGCCCATCCATAGATTTTCTGTTCTTTTAATAGGCATTAAGATATAAGTTAATAGGCAGTAAGATACAATTTGATACCAAGATTTATTCTGTATTTTATCCGGTTAGGAGCTGGGGTTGTGGGGTAGATTCCATTCGAATTGGCAAAGAGAGATAACTCTATTGAAAGAGAGATAACTCTCTATTGTAAACTATAAAAGGATGAAAGCTGTACTTATTTATTGTCCTATTATGTTCAAATATGTTGTTTCAGTAGGTACAAAGACCTAATTTAATACGAAGGCCGATGCTCTGATCCGTCTGGTTAGAAGCTGTGATGGTGCGATTGAATTCATTCTAATTGTAAACAGGGATTACTATTCCTGTTGTAAAACTTCTTATAAGTAATTATCTTGTATGTGGCAGAGGATCCAGGGGCATAATTTTTACCTGTCACATTAAGATTAATTAACACCTTCGTCTGCAAGTGATTGTTAATTTGAATTGAATTGCCCGTTATTCGCTAATTAAAAATATTTTTATACCCTGTAAACGAAGTTTTTGGGGAAGGAGTTATATAGATCACCTTGTCCCTCTGTCTGTCCTTGCGCTTTTGTCCAGGCTGTAACTTTGCAAAGGAGAATCATTGGAGGTTCATACTAGATACAGAGATTTCTTGTGATCCAAGGGTGTGTCTTGACTTTGACCCGGCAGGTTCAAGGTAACTGGCAGAAAGTATAAAATTGTTGTCTTGGCTATACCTTTGCAAAAGAGAATCATTGGAAGATCATACTTGGTACAAAAATTGTTTATGACCTTAGGATGTGTCATGTCTTTGACCAAAAGACTTTCTAGCATGTTCAAGAAGAACCATTGGATGTCCATGTTTCACTAAAAGATTACTATGACCAGAGGATGTGTCATTTTTTAAAAACAAGAACTTTTTGACAAGTTCAAGGTCACATTTACAAAATTTATTATTCTGTGAGCTCGCTCACAGTACCTCTAGTTGAACCAGCCATTTACCGAAAGAAAATGAAGTATTGTTGAACATGTTACTTAAATGGGGAAGATACATGCAAATAAGGCATTTAATAAATCGAGTAATGCACTGTATAGTTCAATTTATTTTATTTTAGATATAAGGACAGATCACTCTTACAACATTAGAATACAATGAAATTAGAATTCTTTATAATGCAGTGTAGAGAGGGACCTTAAGGTCGAGCCTATTTTAATGGCTGGTATTTTTATAAAATTCCTACTTCATTCTGGTTCACATTTAATTGACTTTTTTTTAATCTCATGTATCTCAGACCCGGATCCAGGAATTTTTTCCAGGGAGCCCACCCCAGTCAAAAAATTTCCAACCCAGAAATTTCGTTTAAAAAAAAACAAAACAAAGAAAATAAAAAAAAACAAAACAAACTCCCTTCCCAAACGTATTAATCCCAGAAAATTTCTTGACAAGCCAAAAAAAAAAAAAAAAAAAAAAAAAAAACAAAAACAAACAAACAAACAAAACACCCCCCCCCCCCCCCAAAAAAAAAAACAACGTAAAATCCATTTCCCAAATATGAGAAAGACCTATTTCGTGCTGGTGTTGGTCGGGTCCACGTTTTCTAGGAGGGGGGTCCAAAGTCATTTTTATATGCTTAAGTATATATTTTTAATAACTGGAAATTCCGGGGGGGGGGGGGTCCGGACCCCCCCCCCCCCCTCCTTCTAGATCCGCGCATGAATCTGTAAAGATATGTTGTTTTTTTTTCACTTAGTACCTTACGTTAAACTACTAGTGATATTTTACTGGTGTCTGTGTCAGAATGATATGATTCTATCATTTTGGAAATATCTTTAACTTTTCTAATTAGATAAGTTTCACTTTCTTCGTTAGTTTTAAGATTTTATTTATCAAGTTATCATGTTCCTTTAATCCTTCACATCCCTCTATGCGGGACCTTTGCTGAATGGTTAGTTTTCTAGTATTATCACTATATTCGTTTTATTTTAGAGTATCATATTTTGTATACTATATAAATTTCAAAGTATTTTTAAGTGCGTTTACAATGAACAAATGATTTTCTTGAGAAGTGGCTTCCTAATATTAGCGTGGTAGATATTGCTTACGAGAAAATACCCTCCAGTGAGTTGCGACTAAAATGACGAGAATTTATTGTCAAACTAGTATCTTTAAAAGTTATCCATTTTATGAATATACTAGTATATTTGCCTTTTTTTATTGAAGAAGTGAGAGGGTGTCAATATCTTTTAACTTGGTTAGAGACAAAAAATGATGTGCAAGTATGTAAATCAAGAAGAATATTACAGTGAGCAGTGTTTTCACTACAGTGAGCAGTGTTTTCACTACAGTGAGCAGTGTTTTCACTGTATACATGTACTGTTAAAATACACCCTTTTAATTGATATGAAAAACCTTGTTTCTTTTACTACGTACAGTCCTTTCTTCGACTTTAATGTAAAGGGGAAGGCACTTTTTTAAAAGCTTGTTTTGTAGAACAACTGTTTGATGTATGTTTGTATACTTAGTTAAGAAATAAACTTCGAGAAGAAACATCTTGTTGTCTCGCCAACATTTCATTCATACGTATACAAGGTCACTGTAACCTTTGTTCGTCGTCAGATGCACATATAACCAGTCCAGTATATTTTATGTTCAGTGCATGACTGGCCCTGATCATCAGTTAGCGCAATATAACACGGCATAGTCACTCAGTTCGCCCGGAGTCTGGTCATTCAGTGAAGATTTTATACTTTCAGCATACAAATCAGACGATAGACCCTCTTCTTCGGGTGAGGAACCAACAGCTGGCAGAAGTAAGCTCTCCGAATACATCGATAAGTTACACGATCTTCGTAAGTATACACTGAATGCAATATTTTCAAAAGCATGGTGAAGATTAAATCATTTCTTGTTCTCTTTAACTGAGTATTTATATGAATTATTTCTGGAACAGAACAGTCATAGTATGTTTATATTGCTACAGAAACAAAGGCAATGTATTTTGACATGATGCGTAACAGACCAAAAATGTCAATTCCGGCGGAAGCTTCAGAGGTTACCGAAAGTGCCGACACCTCGGAAGTTTTGAAGGGACTGGACTTGACCATTAGATCCTCGCAGCAAAAACACGTACCAATTTACAACAAGGACAGGAAGTACACACCCTGTTTGTACTGTGGGCGGCTAAAGAACAGAACACGGTCAGGATGGCGTGTGAACACTTTTTACCGTTGTCTGCAGTGTGACGTTCCACTCTGTGTTAACGACCGTAACTGCTTTGTGCTCTATCATAAATATTTTCTTGGTATGACTAATGTGGAATCTCCAGGACGTCGTCGATCACGTGATCTTAGTCATTTGGAAGTGAAAAAAGAGACAAATGGCTAAGTTGCTTTTTATATAACATTTTGTTTAGTATTTCATATCATTCAGTCATATTAAATTGTCTTATATTATAGAGTGATATATTTGTACTAGAAGTACAACATGTAATATTGTGTATTGAATTAAGCTTCAGACTATTATGCTTATTGAACTGCATCCTTGGAAACCAACTATTGACACGTGTTCTAAGAGACTTGACCAGGCGTGGATTTCTGATGTTGCTGAACATTTTGGTGAATAGATGGTTGTATTTTATCTACATTTAGGCTTATACATATTCATGTCATTTGTTTGCTTCTGTTCTTGAGCATAACGTTATAGGACGAAATCTCTGTGTACTGTGACTGAAATACTGCTTTTCTCATGTTTTGTATTTTACAATCACTTGTTATGCATTATGCATCGTATTTGTTGATTTTTTTCTCGAGTATTTAGGTACTTAAGACTCCAGTTAATTTTTTTTATTTGGGACAGAATATATCTTAGTTATTCATAGATTTTTACCACGAAGGAACTTTGACCCCTTCTCTTGTAATACCGGTTAACAGCTTTGAGTTGTTCTTTTTTCATTAATACTTATAGTACAATGTTCTCTTACTTTATATTCTCATTCTTTTCACACGAAATGACTCAATTTTCTTAATGAACGTCAAACGCACAATATGTCTTTGTTACCTGATTGGAAAATTGACTATAGCAGTATTACAGATATTTTATTCCGGTCGTCTTAGACGTGTAGAATATCTCAGTTTTATACCGGTGATATGTCCCCTAAACTTTGCTTTTATAGTGTGTTACAGGGGTCTTAAAAGGTATATTCAGGAAATATTTGTTTCAGGGACTATGTCTATTATGTGTATGATTAAGTAGATTTCTGACACTAGCCCCCTCATATTACGAGTAATTTTTTCTTTGAACGTTTAAAACATATTTTGTAAAATTCGATATTCAGGAATACTACCCTTTACCCTTTTATTTGTTTTTTTTTCATTTTGTAATTTTTATATTCACATTTACTCATCGTTACAGAGAATAATAGACTTGAATTCAGCCGTTCTACATTTACTCACCGTTACAGAGAATAATAGACTTGAATTCAGCCGTTCTACATTTACTCATCGTTACAGAGAATAATAGACTTGAATTCAGCCGTTCTGTCCAGTGGTTGTTATGTCTCTATGTTACGTGGTAAATGTAAAAAGAAATTTTCGATAACTTTATCCCCCCCTTCTTTTTTATGATTTAAAGAAATATATATAAATTTGCAGTTGGTGATTTTCCTTTTAATCTTCAATTTTTGGAATATGATATATTTTAAATATGTTTTAAAAGTTAAAGATTTTCCTTTGTACGTGTTGTATATCTATATATTTTGGCTATTTGTTTAGGGCGCAGTTTTGCATTACCGAAACTCGATATTGCATTACCGAATTTTTTTTTATCAATACCAAAAATATTTAAATATTATTACCGAAATACAATGCATAGCATCTCTGAAAATCTACATTTAATGCATATTCCATTAGCCCGGTTGTACTGTTGTCTCCTCTCCACGGGGAGGTGAAAGAGGATCTTGGGTAGGATAATGTTTCAAAGATACAGATTTCAAGTCGAATTTAAAACTGGATTAAAACACATGTCAAAGCTCCACTATTTAATGTTTGTATTATGATACGTGTTGTTGACTGTTGATAATGTCAAAAAAGGAAGATTTTTGGTTGACTTGTAGAACTGGAAATTGAAATCGGAGTGAAATGATTCTGGCCCGTTCAGGCCGTTGTTCGTTCCCTTACTTTTTCTTCGGGAATGGATGCGCACATTGACGTGGTACTTCAACCGGTATCTCAATTTGACTTTATGGTAATAATATATAATAATATTCTTTCGGAAATGAAAGAAAATACTTTTTGGTAAGGATAACTGATCAATTTCAATATTTTCGGTAATGCAATGCAGCCGTTTAAGGAATGTTTGAATTTCTGCATTCATATCGATTTTAAAAATACCCTCAGGTCACAGGTAATAATTAACCTCATTCAGACGTTTTTATATAAATAAGTATGTTAACAGATCAACAGTTTTTTTTTTTTTGTACATTTTGTTTTGCCAAACATTATATGGATTGTTGAATTTTGCATATTTTTATACTTCGTTGTATACAACATATCTAGATTTGTTTTCTTTTTTCATATTATATCGGAAAATAAAGATCTAATAGAGTTTTGTATTACGATTATGCTGTATAGTGCAAATATCAGAAAATACTGATCGTGCAGAAAAGTCATGAGCGTACATATCTGTGTTCGAAAACATCTGAGAACATTAGAGTGTAGTGTAGAGGGAAGCAATAGGATTGTATTTTCCTTTTCCATATTTCATAAAGTCAAAGTCTAAAATATTCATGACATTGAATGTTTATTTGGAAGCCATAACCGGGAAGAGTAACCTTTGAATTAACTTTGAAAAAAATCTGTTCACTTTTCCATTGTGTCAGGTCACAAAAATATCCATAGCTGACATAGGGATCCTGTATCGGAGCAAGCAGTGCATATTGTCGCTGGCAACAATGTACCTAACCTCATTGCATTTATTGTATTAACACCGGCGACACTATGTGCCGAGACAAGTCTTTTCTTCTCCCTGTAATATGGGCACATATTGTCGCTGGCGACTTATTATTCAAAGTTCACTTAATCACACCCTGCTCAACTAATGGTGCTCGACAGTACTGTTTCTAAAACAAGTTGTTTGCGGTATAGTATGGTAAACTAGGTTTGACTGTATACAAAACCAAAAAAAAAAAAAAAAAGAAACACAAGATTATAGATACAATTTTCCTCATTATATTTACAAAGAATAGAAATATCTTTTCTGCATAATTAAATTGACGAGACAAACGGCTTTCAGACCATACTAGTGCCATCTCCGTCAAACCGCCGCTCTGTTTCAATAAACGTGAGAACTTGCTTTTGAAGAAAAAAACCCCCTAAGTTTTACTTTAAAAGATTTTTCATGTTATAAGGTGTCCTGTCAAATCAGATATAAGCAATTCTAGTAGAATCATTTTATGTAATTGCAATAGATTTTAAATGAAAATATTTTTATTTTTTGTTGCAGGACAAGGTTTATTTGATGTTATGGACATCCAAATGTCCCCTGGGTTTCCAAACTATGACGACAGTGTACACAAAGTGGAATCAAACAAAGACAAGAAGAAAAAACGCTGTATATTTTGTAAGTTTCGAAAGAACCGAACAAAGAGTGGCTGGGACGTTTTGACGGAGTCCCACTGTTCTCATTGTCAGATGCCTCTTTGTGTCAGAGATTTCCGGAATTGCTTTGCTGTATATCACACGCTGGTGCATACAGGAGTTATCCAGCCTTTATTTAACAAGTCTGAGTCTTTTCCAAAATAAAAGTTTTCAGGTACTTAAATGGTGTCCGGAAATACAGAGGTCGAGCAGGAGATAAGAAACTGTATCTGCACACGAACATGTGGTTTGAATTGTACGTATAAATCCTGCTTATGTGTAATTAAAAACAAACAAACAAAACAAAACCAAAAAAAAAAAACAAAAACAAAAAAAAACAACCAAAACAAAACAAAACAAAACAAAAAAAAAAAAAAAAAAAAAAAAACAGCAGATGTTTCTGAATGATGGGTTTGTTGCTTCCATGATTACAAAAGTACCAGGACTGAAATTGAAATAATTTAAACAATTTTATATTTTTTTAAAAGGGGGTGTAATCGTACATATTGCAAATTGTATATCGGCTCATTGTCACCGGCTGAAAAAAATATACGTGTACATATTGTCTCCGGCGACAATAAGTGCTTATCCTCGCTGCTCATAATGTCACCCCACAGTTAAGGTTATTTAAGATTTTTTTAAAAATTATTTTTAAAATTTTTTTCCCTTTGCGTTTTTTGTTTTAGTTTTTTTGAATCTAACTGACGTTTAAATCACACAACTTATCAAGTAGGCATATTCCATGAAGCGTAAAACACAATACTCTAGTTTTTCTGTGTATTTAAATACGTGAGTATACACGAAAATGGTATTCAATTAAATTTTATCTTCAGTTTTCATGAGATTGCATGTTCACTAAAAGACAATTTTTACGCATAGTTGTCATTTTTAACTCTTAAGGAAGCAGCTGCAATAAGATGCTGCATTTAATATACAGTGTACAAGTTACACTGTGAAGGGGTGATTGGTACAATTAACATGATTGGTATAAATTATAGAAACATACCAAAAAAAAAATCTCCGACCCCAGAAAACGATACTTTTGGCCACAAAATTCGCAAATGTTGGCAGCACATATTGACGACAATATGTGCCTATATTTAAAGTAAATTTTGTCGTCCACTCTGCAGGGAGAAAAAAAGGCTCGTCTTGGCACATAATGTCGCCGATGTCAATATGTACAGATATACGACAATATATGCAATGAGGGTTGGTATATATTATTGCTGGCGACAATATTTTCAGGGTGACAAAATGCATCGTCACAGGTGTGATTATTATGGGGTTATTGTACATATTAGTGAATATTAGTATTATTCACTTAATTATTTATTATATAGCTAATGCTTTAAGGAGGTTCGATCCTGAGCTTTTGAGCAGATTTTGGTCTGGACCTTTATTTATAAAATTCTGCATCATTTTTAAGTTCAAACATTAAATCTAGATTCTACAATGCAAATTAAACTATATCCAATGAAAAAACCGCGATTAAATTCCATTCAAATAGGATTAAGCCAGGAACTATATTTTGTGGCGGAAGGTTTTTTAGGAGAAAATGATCAATATTTCCCTTTTGAAATATATACAGTACTGTTAAGTTTAGATTCCTATTTTTCCATGCTGGTTGCACACAGAGCTGTTTTTTGCAGTGAAATGTTTTATGCTGGTTCTGAAATATCTATTAAATTATTTCTTATGAATTCTTTCATTATATTGTGACAAATATAGTTAATTTATTCTGAAAGTCCAAGAAAAAATTTAGCCAATTTTAACATAAAATTTACACTTTTTTAGTAATATCTGAAAATTTACATCATAGACTCCCACTTTTGTTTTTCTTTTCTGAATATATTAAGATAACTTTAATCAATCTGCCTAAATTCAGCAAAAGTTTAAGACTTTAAAATAATTTTCTTGCTTGTTAAATTTTTAATGCTAGGGAAATCACACTTTTTGAGTGCAGAAAGGTCAAATAATTGATTATGCGAAGCAATATAAAACTTTTTCTTAGTCATAATTTTAAAGTGTCTTTTTTAAGTAGACTAATAATTTATTTTGTCCCATGATTTATTTGGATAAAAACATTAAAGGGAAAACGTCGAAGATGTGATTTTTGATTAAGACACAAATTTCAGTGCAAAAAGGTCATATTAAATGTACTGTAGCGCCAAAAGAAGCATATTGACCCCCATTTTTTGTTTTGATTTTTAATTAAGCTATGTGTGAAGAAACTAAAAATATACTTGACAAAAAAAGTTTAAGACTTTAAATATCAGGATCCAACCTCGTTAAATTGACTTTTGATTTTAAAAAATAAAATATCTTCAATTTCATGAGGATTGTCGAATATTTGTATGTTTAATACTGTCCAGGGGCCCATTTCACAAAGCCGGCCAACTTGGGACAGTTATTTCTGAAGACAGAACTTTCCCCTAAGTTCGTTACTTACCGTTTCACTTATCTCGACTCGTTGTATCTTATGAAATTCCTAAATGTTATCACAACTCTAAAACAGGTAAATCGATGTCTTAGACAGGAACTAAATATGGAGGCTGCATTATCTTTTTATTTGAAAGATGCATGTTATACTGTAAATTTGGTAGATAACAAATCTATTCACCATCTAAAAGTGTAGAATAGTTGCCCCATCCACTCCGTATACTAATACATGTACATGTCATTCGCCCAAGATAAATTGTATCTTATCCTCTAAGGGGTATGATGCAGTCAGCTGGGGAAATACTTTCACAGCAGTTTTCAACTGTTCTGCTATATCTGGGTGATTTTTAATGCCACTGCAGGTAACAGTCCATTTTCCTTTTAGTAACCCACAGAACAACTTGTTTTTTGTCTGGGTTCAGTTTTGAGAATGCATGTTCTTCCTATAACTTCTTTTCTTTTGTCCACTTCATCTTTAAAATAAAAATGGCCACTTCTGTCGATACTATGAAAAAAGCCTTATTCACGTAAGTACGGATTATTAACATAGACCAAACAAATAAATTTTATGCACTCATTATTTTAGAAATAAAAGATTTTTTTCCAGGTGATCGGAGTGTTCAATTAATGAGCCATACACATAAAATTTTGGTTTTAAAGCTTTCAAGTTTGTAACAAAAAATAAGTATACTTTTTTAAGATTCCGACTCTCTCTCTCTCTCTCTCTCTCTATTATATTATATATTTATTACATTTCCAACAGTGAAATACTGTAATTTCTTTACTGAAGAAAAGTGATATTCTGACTAAGGGTGAAACGTTTACTGAATTTTGTAAACGTTTAAACGAACAGCAGTAAACGAAATGTTACCGTTTAAACGGGAGAATATTTTGTGTTGAATTTTTATGGTTACTTACTCATTAAACACTAATTTAATACTCTATTCTTTCACTATAATGTAAGTATGAGTTGTTATAACTATTTATTTGTTGGTTTTTATGACGAAAGAATATGAAGCGCATAAAACTCATTCACTTTTACACTGCATTAATAGTTTGTTTGGCTACATACCGGACGTAGAAAAAGCATTGTCAAATTAATCTTGCAAAGATGGCTCTTTTAATCCTGAATTAAGTATACCGCGATTTGCTTACTGTGTTGAAACACTTTTCAAAGACTGGTGAAAACGTATTATATTTAAATTTAATCAACGTAAATCAAGTTTGATACTTGGAAAATAAAATCATAATAAATCTTTAGTATTCGCTACTCGGAAATCGGAATCAAATATGTTAGACGCAATTGGGTTTTAGATATTTTAGTTTAATAACATGTTTCCAGTATCGATTTAAACAGAAAACAATTGTTTTCTTTGGTAAATATGAAATTAAACAACTTGTTTGTATTTATCTTTACTTCTGATAGACATTGATAATGACCTTCGTCTAAACGTTTACACAATTCGTAAACGTTTAGAGCATTTAATCGAAACGTCGCCGTTTACACGTGTAATCGTTTTGCCC